CCCCCCCCCCCCCTCCCCTCGCCCAAAAAACAACAACAACAAAAAACAAACAGGAAAGAAGAAGGCGGAAAACGAAGGGTTTTTTGCCACATCGAAACGGGTACAAATATGGCTAGAAATAAAGAAGTAACTTCAGGGCAATTCTTGTCAAATCTGATGCCTGAACTATCACATTCTGTAACCTTAAAATACCTGGCAAGGGCATTCAGTCTGTTTTTTTGAGGGGCCATTTGTCGCAGCTGAGAGCGAGTCAATTTAAAAACAACTCCTTGTAACTTTTTGCACAACCAATCAGTACATACCTTATTCCTCGTTTTTCGTTCTTTATCGTATTCTCACGCTGGGCATGCTGCGGTGGATGATCCTTACAGGTGTAACAGACAGTCACTTAATCCATCAGACAGACAGACAGAAAGTCAGTCTCACAGTCAACTTTTCAGATCACCTTTTACACATCCTTCACTTCTTCAGTCGCTAAGTTGGGTGAACTCCTCTGTCACCCTATTACCTTCTTTAGACAGACATAAATATAGACAGACTGACAGACAGACAGAAAGTCAGTCTCACAGTCAATCTTTCAGATCACTTGTTACGCATCCTTCACTTCTTCAGTCGGTGATTCAGGTGTAACAGATCTCCTTTCCCCTGTCACACTACTACCTTCTTTAGACAGACAAACAAACAGACAGAGAGTCGGTCAGTCATCCGGTCAGTCGGTAGGTCGGTCGATTAGTCTTCACTCAGCAAGCTTGTTACCCAAGCTGTCAGTCTTTCACCTTTTAAATATAACAGAAGTCAGTCTGTTATTCAAGCGTAGGGAAACTCAGTCATAAAGTTAACCGACTAGACCAGTCAGTCAGCCAGCTACTTGGCTAATCACAACATTACAATCTTCACAAAGGCAATCAAGTTTGGTCTAATACCACACTGCTATTTCCATCTCTTAAGATGAAAAAAATAAATCCTTCATTGTGACTCCAGTGTCTCCATTACCAGAGGTGTCTGCTCATAGGACATTGTTTGTGTGTGGCTTACTGGCAGTGGAGGCGCGGTGGCCTCATTGTTAGTGCGCTCGACTCCGGATTGAGTGGACATTGATTGACTTTGCATTGATCAGGGACATTGTGTTGCGTTCTCGGACAAGACAGTTTATTCTGACAGTGTCTCTCCCCACCCAGGTGTACAAATGGGTACTGGTAAATTTGTTGCCGAGGGTAACCCTGCGATGGACTAGCATCCCATCCAGGGGGGAGTAGAAATACTCCTAGTCACTTCATGTTACGGAAACTGGGATAAGCTCCAGTCTGATGGGCCACTTGGCTTGTATGCAGACTTTACCTTCCTCGAAGTGTCAGCCTACAGGTCTCCATCAGAGAACATTAAACTGTACATTTAAGGAGCCGTCACAGCATTTTAAGTTATTTTGGCCACATACAAAATTACCCTTAAATTGAAAGAAACCTGAAAATATTGGTTTACTAAGAAAGATAAAAATCACCAAAGAGATAATAATAATAATAAACCATAAAGAAACAAAGATGGTTAAGGATGGAGAAGATTAAAATGGATTACAAAAGGGGACCTTGAAAAATTAAGGCTAAACTTTTCAAGATGAACACACTGTGAAGTAGCTCCTTTAAGATAATTCATTTTCCTCATCAGAAATTGGTTCCTCTTAGGGGTGAGAATGAACAAGAGCCAGACCCATAAAATGAGATTCTTATACTTTTTACAGGCTTCTTTTAGAAAAGTAAATGAAACTAATACATTGTATATTGAATACAGATCGGATATACATAAACAGTCTAATAATATGCCGAAAAAAATAACTCGATTCTGATTGGCTGAGAACAGTGAAGTTCAAGTGCAACACCAGTGCAAAAAGTGTAACACCAGTGCAAATTACGCATCATATCCCTGGATTATGATTGGCTTAAAAACAATAGGAAATTTTCTAAGCCAATGATATCATGTAAAAAGATGACGAAAATTGTGTGTAGAAACTTTGAAAAAAGTTTTCTTGAATGAGAAAAAATGGCTTCAAGAAAGATCTTCTGGCACTTCCTCCACATGAATTTGTTCATGTCACTTTATCTTATTAATATGTAATCATACGATTTTTCTCATTCAATTTGAAATTAATTTGCACTTGTGAGTTTTTCAAAAAGCTAAAATTGCACTCACTGAAGCGGCTCGTGGAATTTCCGCTTTTTGAAAAACTCACTTGTGCAAATTAATTTCACATTGAACTCGAAATTGTATGATTACCTATAAAAACCTAACATAAATATACAATCTCAAGACAAAAAAGTGTGATTAAAGGAGGTGATCATAGGAAGATAAGGACAGGGTTTTGTATGTTTCTAGCTGGCTAGCTAAACTTTGACACATCAATAGAGTCTTGACTGATTGATTGAGCAGTCTGAATAAATACCACTCGATAAGTGACAGTCCGTCTATATCTTTTCTGGATTTTGTTATCCCGCACTGTCAACACGGACATCATTAATTTATTAATACATCTAACCAACTGAAATTAAGAACAAAACAAGAACACACCAATTGTAGTTACAAATTTATTAACTTTAGTTTAAGAATAAAGAGCAGTTTCTACACGAGTTGAAACAAAAGAATCTAACAGATGAGCAAGGACTTGAATTACAGTGTATATGAGTAATTTTTCACTTGCTGAGTGAAACGAAATAAGTGAAAATTTTTTTCTCACACACCACTGGGGCCTGGGTATAGGTAACATGACCTGAAGGGCAGGCAGTTGTTTCTGTTGCGCCCACCATTACTGACTTTCCTGCCCACCCACCTGCAGATTTTAAGTTTTTATACAGTGCCAGTATATTGCACAAGCCTTGAACTTTTTTTGTTATTTCCAGTGTTTAGCGTAATGCTATTTGTATTAGCTTTGATTTAGCAATAAAGGTCAGGCAGCGGCAGTCAGCTTGACATGGCTACCAGTGGTATGTGAGAATTTCAAATTACTCTTCTTTGAATAACAATATAATCAGAAATACCAAATGATGTAACCCTAAAGAACATTCTGCAAACACCAAGTCTACGCGGATCTGCAAATTCCCACATTATTTCAACATTTCTAGATTAAAACTGTCTAGTATAATATGCAATGTAATGACTTCAGATCTACAATGTAAAAAAGTTTTCCATTAAATATCTACAGCATTCATTATAAATTCTCAAAGTACAATGATTAAACACCATTTTTGCATAAGATCCTAGTTTTAATGGCCCTTTCCAAAACTTAATTTGAAAAGCAGCATATTGGTCATGGAAATTTAGCTCTGTTTCCCTTGAAATATAACATTTCAGGCAAAATCTTTCTGAGTATTTTGCTACCTAGGCTTCTTCAATTATAACATGCGTGGAGGAAGATTTACATGGACGTGATCTCTGTGAGAGCTCCAAACATACATAAGCCTATTCGGTTGAAAAGTTAATGTCTTTTGCCAGACACAGTTCAGTATAATCTTCACCTTGGCTCACCTTGGTTATCTTTTGAACTTGCTGGAGGTATATGAACAGCTGTGAAGCCGTGGGCTGTGATATGTGGGTATTAATATTCACTCACTTCTTGAGATTTTCTGCAAAAAACATTTACACATTTTAAAGAAGTTATCAAATCAATTTTTAAATGGTTTTTATTCACAACGTAGGTGAAAGTCTGTGTATGAGCCAAGTGACCCATCAGGCCTGGGCTTTAATCTCCAGTTTCTGAAGCATAAAGTGACTAGGAGTATTTCTACTTCCCACCCCCCCTGGATGGGCTGCTAGTCCATTTCAGGGTTACACCAAGCATTAAATTAATTTATTGGCCGGTACCCATTTACACACCTAGGGCCTGTTTCTTAAAAGCCTTGGAAACTTTTCAGGCCGGTAAAGCCATTTTTAGTTCATCTGTATCTAAAAACGGAGCAGTGTATACGCCTGGAACTTCTTCTTCTCTTCATACTAAGAATATGTGAATAAAACAGCTCTGTAATCGTAAGGTTTGAGATTTGCTATGGCTTTACGGGCCCGAAAAGTTTCTGGGGCTTTCAAGAAACGGGCCCCTGGGCCAGGTTGTTCAAAAGCCGGTTAACGCTAACCCAGTATTAAAAGTTAATCGAACTATTAATTTTTCTTGGCTAAAAATGTTTTTTATTGTTCACGTTTTGTGTAGTTTGAGCTTAGTCAAGTTCAAAACTGAAGGACAATTATTATAACCAGAAAACCTCACCGAAAAGTTACAAAACTGAAATCAAAATTCTCTCTGATCCTGGGTTGGCTTAACCAGGCTCTGAACAACCCGGCCCTGGGTCGAAAGGGGCACTGTGAGAAGTGTCTTGCCCAAGAACACAATATACAAGAAAAAGTCCAATCAGATGCTTTGGAAATGGTAGATTAGTTATCCACTTAAACCTCCTTTATATCGACCTGAAAACAGCTCACTCTGCCATTTTTTATAAACCCTTTTAATGTAGCCTTCTCTGTGGTAACATTATGGTGAGTAACAATGGGTAGTCCACTCCACACATTAAGGCACTGTCTCATGTGTAACCAGATTAAACGTGTTGGAAGACAAAAAAATGTGGATAAACATATTTGTTTATGTTGTTGTTGTTGCTGATGGGAGTCCAAAATTGCTGAAGATGTCCGAAGATGTCAAAATATTTAAAGAAAAAATATCATGAGTGGTACATACAAGCAAGATTTCAGTCTCACACTTGAAAGAGTTGAGCAGATGTTTTCAAAGTCTACATGTTTATCTTTCTGTGTGGCCAAAAGTAGCACACTTTACTTTTCACATTTTTACTGCAACAGACATACAGCACAATCCTATGTTCATTTCATTCAGTTAAATCGATAGCATTTTTATCCCCCCTCATAGCAAGCTACATAAAAATTACGAAATGTATTTGCAAATTGACTTCCAGTATGACATTTCCACTTCAAAAAGGATGGAACTGTATGGATTTCCAGTATCATAAGACAACATAACCTAGAATTGACCTCTGGTGAGTCAATTCGTCAACTGCCTCAGACAAATCGACTCAATTTGGGTGTATTGGACAACCTTCTGAAATCAGAATCCAAGAACTCTGTCGTTGAAACAGTCTAATTGACTCATAACAATGAGCAGACTGTGGACTTGCATTTAAAAAATATATTTTTGTGTATAACTCACATACATTACAACTTTTTAAAATAAATTATATTGGTAGAAAGTAGTGATTTGCCTTGAAAATATTTTTTGGCCTTTGAAGGTCTATAGGGTGGTAAAAGTTTTTTTGTGATCCATGAATGGCCTTATTTTTTCCCGTAAAACGTAATTTTATTTACTAACTGTGAGCCATGATTTTTCAAACATAATACTTTTCTGTAAAATAAGAAATAAATGTTCAATTCACTGTGACACCTTCCTTTATGTTTTGTTTTATTTTTGATAGCTGTCATTATGTTATAGACATTGCATAATAATTTTGTGAAAGGAAATCTGTTTGATCCTTCAGGTCTGGATTAGTCTTTAGTAGAACTGAACATGGTTTTCCTTTTGTCTCTTGTCGAAAAAAGAAGTGGAGTGGAGAAATGGTGAAGATGGCAAGCAATGCTGTTTTTTTGGACATTAAATTTCCAAAATCTTTGTAATACAAATGAAAAATGACCTTTTTTCTTTTGTGACGTGTGAAATGTATACTTGATTTTCCGTGAATTGTGAAAAGACCTTTTTACATTATGTGAAACGCGAGCTAGAGCCCATCCCATTACCAACTTTGGTCTTAGATAACCTAACTTTATCCTTTTTCTGTCAGCGAGGCAGCAAGAGATAAAAGATAATGTTGTAGTGCCTGTTGCAACAACTTAAGGAGTATGACGAATGATTAGATTGAGGAGATGCAAGAACTGGGCATTTCAGCCATTGCATTATCCATCGATACTGAATTGACTGAATTACTGGAATCATTCTGCAAAACTGATGCGAGCGACCTTAGATACAAGAGAATAATTCTAATAATTATTGCATAAATGTGTATGTTCCATTAGACACAAAAAATACTTAACACATAGAAAATATGTACCATTTTTCTATTGAGTTACAAAGACACAAGTGGAAGTTTGGGAGAATAAGAGATGTTGTGGGAACATGAGCCAACAGGAGAGTGTTTCCACAGCTTTGTTGAGTTCTCCCAAACTTCAAACAAGTGTTTCTACAACTCGATAGAAACACAGAGGACATGTTGAATGCCCTTCCCTTAGTGGCTGTTCTACTCACTTTCTATTCTGTTTTTGTATAAATCTACTAGCGTTCTATCACAAATGCCCTTCTCTTAGTGGCTCAGTTCTACTCACTATCTATTCTGTTTCAGTATTAATCCACTAGCGTTCTATCACAAATGCCATTCTCTGATTGGTTACGCTACTCACTATCTATTCTGTGATAGATAGTGAGTAGCATAACAGTGTGCCCTTGTTAACAAAATGACGACCGCTTCTTGGCGTTATCGAAGTGTCTGTGAAGAGTATTTAGATAAAGTTTTGAATGACTAGTAGATTTATACTAAAGCAATTACATTACTCACTCTCGATGATGTCAATGTTCATAAACTGGTGTATTTGCTATGCATGAAGTAATCTAACTGCTGGGATTTTAATTTATGAATCAAATGATTAGCATAGAGCAGTGCACTCATTCTTTGCTGGATTATTACTTTTTATGACTTTAAACAACTATGAATTGAAAACAAACCTTTCAAGACCACTGGATGTCACAATGCGGCAAATTCACTCTGGCTTCATCCACATCTTTTTGGGCAATGCCGCAGCAACCAGTGATGTCCAAAATTCTCAGCTTCTTACATTTGTCAGTAATTTCATTAAGACCAACACTTGTCACCTCTTTGCAGGATGATAGGTTCAAATACTCCAGTTCTGAGAGACTATGTACCAGTGAAAGGATTCCAGCATCTGTAATTCTCCAACTTGACAATAAATTTAAGTTCTTTAAGCCCGTAAGATGGCGACCAATATGGTGAAGTCCAAGATCAGTAATATTGGAGCAATTTGAAAGATCAAGCTCTTTAAGGTTGCTAAGGTTATTAGCAATATGTTGAACACCCTCATCTCCAACACGGTAACAGTAACTTAGATTTAAACGTTCCAGTGTTTTTAGCTTCATTACACTGAGAAGATCAGAGTTTTCCACTCGAGTGCAATATGTTAGATTCAATTCCAACAGATTAGGAAAAAACTCTTCACATTTTAATCCCTCAAACCAACCCAGAGGAACAATCGAGTGATCGAGAAGTAGAGTTTTTAAATTTCGAGGCAGAAACTGAGCTGGAACGTTCCTCATATCACAATAACACAAGCCAAGTGTCTCCAAACTAGGGCATTTAGTTTTGATTTCTTCAAGCAAAGATGGCGAAATGTTTTCATTCTTTTTCGTGGTTCCAATGAATCCTTTTATCAGCAGCTCCAGAACTGAATCTGACAATCGATTCCTGACAATTTTCCACAATGTCCGTAAAGAAAGCGGCCACGAACGAAGGTCGACGAATCTCCACAGGGTTCGATCACAAACAAGGTGATACCACAGCCGGCATACAGTGGACGAAGAACAGAGAGTTTTCACATCAAGGAATTTGAACACATGTAGCATGATATTGGCAGGAAGTTTGCATATTGGAGCAGTTTGAACCACATTGTTTGCCGCTTTTTGGCGGGATGCTCGTCTTTTGGCTGCTGTGCAAGACGCCATGTTGGTCAGCTGTCGGTAGCACGGGCTCTCACCCCGCCTTAGTACTTCAGAAATAATAAATTAGAAGGGTGGAGTAGGGGAAGATTAGGGGGAGAGGTAAGGGGGTGAAGGGACATCACGGAAGAGCCTTCGAGAATGGAACCTGCCAATCAAACTGAATTNTCGTCTTTTGGCTGCTGTGCAAGACGCCATGTTGGTCAGCTGTCGGTAGCACGGGCTCTCACCCCGCCTTCGTACTTCAGAAATAATAAATTAGAAGGGTGGAGTAGGGGAAGATTAGGGGGAGAGGTAAGGGGGTGAAGGGACATCACGGAAGAGCCTTCGAGAATGGAACCTGCCAATCAAACTGAATTCACAAAAGCTAAGAGCAATTATGGTTTGATTATGTATTAAATCTCGAAAATCTTTAATACATGACATAACTTTCCGACGATATGTTCGGAGCAAAGAAAATATTGTGTGGATGCCTCCGGGCAACTTCTACAAAAATTTATATCTTGAGATCTGCATGCAGAGGCCCGTTTCGCAAAGGTCCCGAAAAGGTTTTGCACCCAGAAAGCCATAGAAAAATACCAAACTTTATGATTACAGAGCTGTTTTATCCACATATTCCTAATATGAACAGAGATTCCCTTCACACAATATCAGTTTCAGGCGTTTATACCTCTCTGTTTTTAGATACAGATTTCGGGGCTTTCGAGAAACAGGCCTCAGGGCTTGTGGGTTTAACGTTACTAACTTGGTCTGTTCTTTTCATGCATGGAAATCGGACGCTACAGATATTGTTAACCACTCTTTGCATCCATAAAAGGGTTTTCTAGACCACACAAGAATTTTTTGATCACATGTTAATCGGACTGGTGACATGTGCACAAGCAGGTCGTAATAACATGAGAGGGATTAGATATCGCAGGGGTGTAGCGTGCATTTTCCATGGAGTACATAGCAAAGACAAAGTCCACCGAGTGACAAAGGTGCTAGCATGGTTCACGGGAATGCCCCCCCCCCACCTCCCCCCCAACAAGAAATTCTTATTTTTACGAGCTTATGTGTCAACCTTTGGGATAATAGTGGTGGTTTTAATAGCAGAGTCTAGAGGCTGTCAAACAAGCCAATTTCACTATTAAAGATGCTTGCAGTCAATAAATATATTGTTTTCTGGATTTCCGGAGGTACGCACATGCATACATCTGTATATGGTCGCTACGCCCTTGTAACGTACTGGTGAATTCACACGAAATTAAAAGACAAATTAAAAGATAAAATTTAATAACAAATTAAAATATTTTATACAATATATACATGCTGAAATTATGTTTCTTTATATTGTACTTTTGAATAATTTCACACGCTGTGATTGTAACATTCACTCTTTAATTCTCGATAAGGAACTCGATTGGACAAGCACAGCGGACGAAATTCCTAAAAGATATTGGTCCATATAATAAACACGTTACTAACCTACTGGCCTCGGTATTTTCTCGATCACATATATATAGGACATATAGCCACAGGTGACCTAAGCAGAGATACGTACCAGACCGTTAAAACCAAAATCGCTCAAATGGCATGCACTGAAAACACTGGAAAGACAGAAAATGGATAAGGCGGGTTTAAACTCTATTATAGCTTTTTCAAGGAAAAACAGAAATAGTTTTGAGCGCTTTCGATCAAATGTCGAATCCATATAAACTCCACTAGATCTCTCTTTTAGTCCGCTTAAGTCACCTGTGATATAGCCGCCCGCTTTGCGCTTTTGTCGATTGGAGAGAAATAACGGACCATAGCTTACAATACAGACCTGTAATAAGCCACCTTTAGAAGAAGAAATAACGCATGGACGAAGATGGAAAGGAATAAAGGGCATTAGCGCACAGACTTAAACAATACACTTAAACTTTAACTTAATACAGTGGTACATACAAAATTGGTATAAAAGCTAAGGAAATATATTAAAGTTATTTACACGCAGCTGCTACCTTGCAAAATGGAGGCATATAAAGAGTGTTTGTAATAGTAATTGGACCGAGAGGATTACATTGAGGAAGCAATCGAGCGCTTAATTTCAACGTAAGACGAGCACGCGGCGCGTGACCGATTTGAAATTACGAGCACTGAGCACTGTTCTGGGCAAGCTACTGTTACTTTAACAGTATTATCTAGTTTAAATAAACAATAGCAATAACAATAACAAGTTTCGAAAGTTGAGCAAAAAAGTTAGTAGTGTTTTCCATAAGTTTTTGTAGGGAACATTGAGAAGGAGGCTAATGTAACGTAGGTGTCCAATGACAAAATAATGCAGAAATAGGATACATACAATTGGACACCTTCGTGATTACGTGCCGATTAAGGCTGGTTTTCACTAGCACATAAGCATAAGCACAAGCATAAGCTTAAGCAAGTAGAACACCAGAACATAAGCATAAGAGCACACGCAGGCGCAGTATTAACAAAATTTCTCGATACCAACTTTCCTCGACTATACAATCAAGATGGCCGCCTTACGCTTTTGCTTATGCTTATTTCACTCGTCTTCGCACTACGACATAAGCATAACATAAGTATAAGCATACGTATAAGCATAAGCACAAGAAGAACGAACCATGTTCGTTGTTCTTGTGCTTATGCTTATACTTACATCGTGGGTGTTCTCACTTTCTTACGCTTATGCTTGTGCTTGTGCGCTAATGAAAACCAGCCTTTACGCCACAGATATGCGTGCGGAGAACCAATCAGAATCGAGAATGTTGGTATACATACGATTATAGTGATTGAAATAAATCTTCAAAGATTAATTCGTATTAAAATCTGAAATTGGTTCGCCTGTAAATAAGATTCAAAGGGTATTGAAGGACGAATAATCTTCTCTGTCTCTAAAGAGACCCAGTAAAGGAATCTCTCTTGTGCTGTTCTCCTATTAATAGGGAGGATTTTCTGCCTCAAATTTACTCCACTATGAGGAGAACAGCACATGAGAGATTTAGGTCCCAAGTCCCTGTTCTCCTCGTCTATTCTTATCATCTATCCGACGCTTTGATCGTTTTAAAGAGCTACTGGGCGACGGTAACCGAGGCCAACAAGAAACTCAGACATCGAGAAAGACTATCACTGGAATAACAATCGTTTCACTTTTATACGACGGTCTCTTTACTTTCTCGACAATAACGTCGCTTTTTTTTTTCTCGTGAGTCCATTTTAAGTCCTTGTTCGTATTGAAAAAAGCCGCTAATTTTTGGGCCGAAGCCGTTCACATTCCACTAACCACTTGGTACGGTACGTACAGTCAAACCTTTCCTCTGTATATTATTGGCAATTCACTGAATTCGCTTGGTCCGAGCCAGACAAAACAGACGTCATATATACCTCTATAGTGCGGACACTGTATTCTGGCGGATACTGCATAGACAGTCAATTTTCCGTGCTGACGCATTAACTTTCTGGACTTATAGATCAGTTCCTCTGGTGAATACATCAACTCTGTGGTGAATAATGATGATGCACTTTGGCATCGTCTCCCACAACTGTCACTCCGCCATGTTGTTCCACGTAAACCACCACTCGCGGCGACTAAACAAAAGAAACGTCGGTTAGCGACAGAAGCGGAAGGAAAGAAAGAGAAAACATTTTATGTTCACAAAACTAAGTAAAGGTCGGTTATCTATTTAGTCTCAGACACAGTGTCGTTTTCACTGAAAAATGTTCGAAAATTCGGTAAAACTAACTCTAACCCTCTAGGCTAGTCACGCATTATGTCCATTTCAAGAGTGCAACATTGCGTGACAAATCAGGAAGTAAAGGATACAGGTACTAACTTCTNTGTGCTGTTCTCCTATTAATAGGGAGGATTTTCTGCCTCAAATTTACTCCACTATGAGGAGAACAGCACATGAGAGATTTAGGTCCCAAGTCCCTGTTCTCCTCGTCTATTCTTATCATCTATCCGACGCTTTGATCGTTTTAAAGAGCTACTGGGCGACGGTAACCGAGGCCAACAAGAAACTCAGACATCGAGAAAGACTATCACTGGAATAACAATCGTTTCACTTTTATACGACGGTCTCTTTACTTTCTCGACAATAACGTCGCTTTTTTTTTTCTCGTGAGTCCATTTTAAGTCCTTGTTCGTATTGAAAAAAGCCGCTAATTTTTGGGCCGAAGCCGTTCACATTCCACTAACCACTTGGTACGGTACGTACAGTCAAACCTTTCCTCTGTATATTATTGGCAATTCACTGAATTCGCTTGGTCCGAGCCAGACAAAACAGACGTCATATATACCTCTATAGTGCGGACACTGTATTCTGGCGGATACTGCATAGACAGTCAATTTTCCGTGCTGACGCATTAACTTTCTGGACTTATAGATCAGTTCCTCTGGTGAATACATCAACTCTGTGGTGAATAATGATGATGCACTTTGGCATCGTCTCCCACAACTGTCACTCCGCCATGTTGTTCCACGTAAACCACCACTCGCGGCGACTAAACAAAAGAAACGTCGGTTAGCGACAGAAGCGGAAGGAAAGAAAGAGAAAACATTTTATGTTCACAAAACTAAGTAAAGGTCGGTTATCTATTTAGTCTCAGACACAGTGTCGTTTTCACTGAAAAATGTTCGAAAATTCGGTAAAACTAACTCTAACCCTCTAGGCTAGTCACGCATTATGTCCATTTCAAGAGTGCAACATTGCGTGACAAATCAGGAAGTAAAGGATACAGGTACTAACTTCTTACTCAGTTGGTCTTTGGGGTTGTCACGCGTGACGATCCCAAAGAGGGACTGGGAAGGAAGCTAGGGTAAAAGAAGATTCACTTGTATGATGACTGCTTGATGACGCGCGATGCAAAGTATTGCTTTGCGCAGAAGTTCGTACGTTGCATTATTAAAAACTGGATCATTGGATAATGCAGTTTGCGAGTTTTTATTGGCTTAGCCATCATGGGTTATGAGCCGTTATACCCTGCTCTACAAATATGGTAAGCGTACGCGCGATTTTTGGGGGGGGGACGTTTTTATTTTTATTTTAGTTTAGTTTGCTATATTTGGGGGGCGTTTTTAATAAAACAATTATTCCACTCGCGCTTGTTGGATATAAGATGATTGTAGCCAACTCGGGGCTACACGCCTTGTTGGCTATCTACCATCTCAGCTCGTGTTAGACAGTGTAGTGGTAAAGGAAAAATAAAGTCGTGCTTACTGCGACTGATGAATCGCCACATGCTGGCACTGAACCTGAGGGTTCGCCGCTATCTTGTCCAATAAAATGGGATGACTCGTTATTAGAATCTGGGTCCGCGCGCCCGAGCTCTGTTTGGTCAGTGAGTTCAAGCGACTCGTCGTCATCGTCATGCATACTGTCAGGATTTGTCGACCGTCTTGTCATGCGCGGTGGGTCTTGTAACGTTTGGCAAGGACAGCGTTTCTTGAACAAGGAAATGACCAAGCCCAATAATACCACCAGTTGTAAGATGGCAACTAGCAATACTACCAATACTACTACCAAGGAGGGATCCATTGGGGTATTTGGGCCTGACTTGTTTCTGTTCTCGTCTATAAAAGGAAAAAAATATGAAACGTAAATACTGTGATAAATAAGCCGGTCAGTTCTTCAATCAATTAATCAGTCAGTCAGTCATTCAGTCAGTCAGTCAGTCAGTCCGTCAGTCTGTCAGTCAGTCAGTCAGTCAGTCAGTCAGTCAGTCAATCAGTCGGTCAATCAATCAATCAAACACATGACAAGACTGCGAGTAGTCCCTCTTTTGCTCGACAATTCGTGGGGAAGAACGCACGGAAGAAAAACAACATGAGCGTGCGAGCGTGACATGCGAAGCCGCGAGCCGCGAGCAGTTACGCACGCACTCTCACTTGTTTTGCGTTCTTCCCAACGGATTTTCGAGCAAAAGGGAGACCTGCTTGCAGTATAACAAACGAATAAATATATATATAAACATGAAACAATCTTAAAATGAAATAAACTACGTTTGAGAAATAAGAAGCCAACAGAAGAACAGCTCCGTTTGGTATATTTTTTTCACGCGATAGCTAAGGAATGAAGTTTATATACCCAAATTAATTGATGAAGAATCTTTCCATCACGTCCTCTTCACTCGCATAAGAATAATGAGAACCTACCCAGTTTGTCACAAGTTTTGCCATTCTCATTCAGTCGAAAGTTTCCTTCACAAAAGCATCTCCTTCTTCCCAGAAACAGCAGGTATACGTAAAAATGTTCACATTCACCATTGCTTCTCTCACAAGGATTTACGCCTAGAAATGAAAGAAAAACAGTTTAATTCACTGAACTCAAGATTACGACATGCATTTTGAAAGACCTCTACAAAAAAAGTAGTGGTGGCTACTGAATGAACATGACAAACAAACAAAACGATTATCAAAGGCATTTAGAAATATAAAGATAATGAGTGGAAGTCAGTAACTACTTTCAGTAGCCCCAGGGACAAAATACTGATATTAAAGGGTATGTCTTAACGAGAAAAATTGTTTGCATTGCAACAGGCGGCAACAAAAGCCGTTTAATTCAATGTTAAAAAGCTCGCTTTTCACATAACCATCCTCTTTCTACCGCAAAAACGCCTCTTGGTACCTTGCGTCCCACATATAATAACTATATTCTCACGTTTTACCTCCTTTTGACCTGAGCAATAGACTTTCTGGATATATATTACACTAGCCAAGCCAGTCAAACTGGTCAAACAAGACAAACTGGTCAAGCTGGTCAAAATAGTACAACAAATCAAACTAGTCAAACTTGTCAAATTACAGGCAAGCTGGTGAAACTAGTATGTTACATACATACCACAGTTTAATGATGGGTTGCTTCCACTTTGACACTCTGGTGAATACAGATTGGTACACGGCCATGGGTGCTCTTGACAATCAGCGGTGGAGATGGTCTCTAACGATCAGAAAGTATAGAAAGAAACTGAAGAAATCAAAATATCATATGTAGATAACGCAAGTCAAAATTAGAAAAATCTCTACAGGAATTCAGCAATCACACAGTAGCTTACTCCTTCTTCCGTACAGTTGCCACTTTTCTGAATTTATGACCAAATCAATTGCGCTGTAAAATTTAGATTAAAACTTAGATAAAGCAGTAGCCACAAAAGGATGGAAAACTGAATGTTAAAGATTATTTTCTCTTTCCCATTTTTAGTGAGAGCGAACCGGAAATTACTTTCACCGGAAGTTATAACTTACGCGCGCGGATTGATTGAAATATTGACATTTAGAGCAGCAAATTAAAACACGAAATAAATTTTTAAATCCTTCACTGACTGTGAATTATGATGTTAGAAATCAATTCCTCAAGAAACTATTTGACAACGGTTTCCGATACAAAAATTGCATTCTTACCAAAGCTTCACCTTTCTAATGACGGAAAAATCAGTACACCCCTCTACTATTTAAATAGCCTGCTTAGCAAGCGTTTCCGTACAAAGAGCTTTTCCGCATTCTGACCGCGCGTAAATTGGAGCGAGAGCAAAAAATTCGACGAAGCAGGGGGTGGTAGGGTCACCACCCCCTGCTTCGTAGAGTTTCTGCTCTCACGGCCAAAATGCGGAAAATCTCTTCGTTCGGGAACGCTTGCTACGCAGGCTAGCATTTAAACGAAAAAATTGAAAGAAGTAAATTGTAAGTAAGAAACGGCTGACTAATAGACAAATAGCGCTCTATTTTGCGACTTGTCCTGA